TAAACACTTTCCTGATTTGCTTTGTAAATCCAGGTCAGACAGATAAACTCAATAAAGATTAATATAAAACAGATACACTTTATTCAGAAGGAAATACTTGCAATTGTGGTGGTTGCTCCTGTATAACACATCTGTTCATCCTTATAGGTGAGAAATTAATGCTTCCTCCATACCAACTTCTAACGTGGAGTGGAGCCATCTGAGACCTGCAGTGACCCCATGCTATCTCAGACAAAGAACATTCCAAACTGTCTCGTGGCCAGGATATCCTGTGATGAACTCAGTAACTCCTTCCACATACCTGATAACATGAGATAGCTCACTAGCTAAACTACATTACCCACAAGCCATCTGTTAAGGAGATAGTGCTTAATCCAATAAATGCCAAACATTGTAACATACAGAGCTACATGATCCAGAACACTCCCCACTTGGAAATTTAAATTTCCACTACTAAATGACTGAAATAAGCAAAAAAACAAAAACAAAAAAAACGTAGTATTAAGGCATGCAATATTCATTATTGACTAACTAGTGACTAAATAGATAAAAACATGGTATCAAAATATGCATAACTATAAAATAAATATAAAAACATGCACAATTATAACAGAAATAAGCAAGTGTTACATCAAACAATGCATAAACACAATACATAGTTTGAAGTTCGATCTTCTAGTTCAGTCTTTGTCAGCAACAGGACCAAATCAGTGATCAGCCTGGTACAAAAGTCTTTGAGTCACGATCTGACTCACGTGGCTTCACGATCTGGACCTCAGCTTGGCGAACTAGTTCATCAAAACTGAGTGGAGCCCGGTGCACAAGTCTCATGGGCCAATAGTTCTGGTATGCATTCTTGTCTCTCAGCAAGACAAGGTGTTCTTCCTGTAAAGGAAACCGGAACCAAATCTGGAACAGAAAAACTGGAACCCAAAATTTCTCAGGAGCAAAGGAACCTGGATCCATAGGATGCTCAGGAACGGAAGAATCTGGAACCACAGGAAACTCAGAAACAGCAGTAGCTGGAAAATCAGGAACAACAGCAAGAGCTGGAGAATCAGGAATAGCAGCAGGAGCTGAAGAATCAGGAACATCAGCAGGAGCTGGAAAAATTAAACAAGGAGAGAAGCAACTTAGAACTAAGGAGAAACTTCCTGACAGTTAGAACAATTAACCAGTGGAACAACCTGCCTCCAGAAGCAGTGAATATACCAACACTGGAAGTTTTTAAGAAGAGACTGGACAGCCATTTGTCCGAAATGGTATAGGGTTTCCTGCCTTAGCAGGGGGTTGGACTCGATGACCTCCAAGGTCCCTTCCAACTTTATTATTATTATTATTATTATTATTATTATTATTATTATTATTATTATTATTATTATTTGAATATGTGTATTGATATGTAACATTATAAAATATTTTTAATGATTCTTGCGAAGGGGTTTGGATTTCTTTTTAACTCTTTCTTTAAGAAAAAAACATATTTTCATGTGGAATTCTATCAAACTAAAGCTATTCCCTCAAAACACCCACAGAAAAGAAGTTAATTTTAGGAAAACCATTGAGAAACCATTGTGAAATGAATCAGTTATAGTTTTCTAACTGTCCCCATGAAAGTTACTGTTAGTACAATTGTATTCCAGAAAATACCAAATGATAATATAAGCACTATGATATTTAAATAAATAAAAAAAGTTTTGAATCCAATTGATATGAATTTTCACCATTATGGTTGCTTTTTACACCTCTCCTCTGGATTTATGCATATTCAGCACTTTAAAAATCTCTGTTTCAGTCAAACAGTTTGAAATCTCTATTTCAGTCAAGTAGTTAAGTTTCTAATTGTTATACCTAGTTCTTTGTTGTGTATTCAATAAACTTGCTTCTGATCTTAGAACTTTTCCAAAAGTCCTGTCCTGACCTTTCTTTTGCCAATGCAGTACTTGCCAATGTCATCAATCCATCTTTTTTTAAAGGTCTCTTTCACGGATGCTTTTTGTCAAGTGGAGTTCATTCTGTGAATTGCCTTGGTCCAGTTGCTCTGTGACCAGCCCATTTCCATTTCAATTCTTTTACTCCCTTGATTATATTGTATACTTTCATTTGTTCTCTAATCCATGTGCAGGTCTATTTTGTTTTGTAATGCCAAGCATGTATCTTTCCATGGCTCTTTGTGCCACTCATAACTTTTGTATTGATTGTGAGGTTAGTATCCATGTTTCACCAGCATATGGTAGCACACACTGATCAAAAACTTTTCTCTTCAGGCATAGGGGGAGCTTGTTCTTGAAAATTACACTTAGCTTGAAGAATGCCTGCCAACCACATATATTTTTTTAAATGTTTTTATTCATAATACAATTAAAACAACAATGGACAAACATGACATTCCAGAATGAATTTTCCTATCAATTCCTATCATGGTACAAAAATTTAATACATCGTTCTTAACCTCTATTTAAGCCTCATCTTCTACACAATACAATTATATGTACAATTATATGTACAGTTATATATATCCTTTAATTCTACCATTAACTTGAAGTCCGAGCAACCTGCCAATCCTATTTAACATGCTGTTCAACAGATATATAGATGTATGCTGTGGTGGGATTCAAATATGTGAACAACCAGTTCTCTGTGTGGTTGCTGCTTCCAGAAGTCCATTCTGGGCCTGGGCAACAAAAAATTAGCTACCTGTTCTGCTGAAGTGGTGCGAACTGGCTGAATCCCACCACTGGATGTATGGATATATCCATCCATCCATCCATCCATCCATCCAACCGTCTGTCTGTCTGTCCGTCTGTCTGTCTGTCTGTCCGTCCGTCCGTCCGTCCATCCGTCCGTCCGTCCGTCCGTCTATCCATCTATCTATCTATCTATCTGTCTGTCTGTCTGTCTGTCTGTCTGTCTGTCTATCTATCTATCTATCTATATCTCTCTCCTTCCCTCCCTCCCTCCATCCCTCCCTCCCTCCATCCAACCTACCTACCTACCTACCTACCTACCTATCTATCATCTGTATTTCTATCTATCTATCTATCTATCTATCTATCTATCTATCTATCTATCATCTATCTATCTATTGTAAGCAAATTACAAAGAAGCAATCTTCTTATAAAAGACCTTCTCGATGGTGCCCCCCTGTCTATTGAATATCATTCTACCAGAGATAAGTTTGATTACCACCTTGATACTTTTTCAGCAGTCAGTATAAATTTCTGAATCTTTTCCCATTTGTGATGTAACCAAAATAGTACAAAATAGTAAATTCTTCTTCGTTTTGAGACTCATGGCCTTTCAGAGAGAAAATATTTGTTTGTCAGGCAGTGTACAAATTTGTTTGTTTTTTGAGAACTGAGCAAGATAAAGGAGTAATTGTACTTCTGAAATAGGATGTCAAGTGTTAATGAATTTAGTCACTCACTTAAAATAGACAACTTCACTAAATGAATGTAAAGCAAGTTGTCTAGATCAAGTCAGATCTTTGGACAGCTTCAATTCCTCAGATTTCTTTTGATGCCAAAATATCCAACTATACAACCTCAAATATTACATTGGAATCATACCTAACAAATTATTTGGGAAATACTCTACTCCCTGTGGTGAACCTATGGCACACAATCTATGGCATGCAGAGCCCTTTCTGTGGCACACACACCGTAACCCCAGTCCTAGACCTTTAGTCCCTTCCATGAGCAAGCTGCATCAATACCTGTGCAGGGTAGGGTTGCCATGCCCGATCCTGCCTCCCCCAAGCCTTTCAGCTACATTCCATTTCTCTGTTCACTTCTCAGCCTTCACCGTGTGTTTGTGGGACTATTGGTAAAAAAATAAAGTTCCATTAGAGTTTCTAACTTCTTGTGAGATCTCGAGAAATTGTCTCTTTCCTTATCTGACTCCCAGCCCCAGGCTATTTCTCCTTTGCGATCCACCACTGCCACATGAAAGATCGCGAAGTTGGAATTGATTGATTGACTTTTTGTTTCCCCAAAAAACTGCATTTGTTTCCTTGCACACGGCGGTGATGAATTGCAAAGGAGAAATAACACGGGGCTGGGAATCAGGTGAGGAAAGAAAGGCAATTTCTGGGGGAAGTGAGGATTTCTTTCCTTACCTGCCCCACTTGCTCCAAAGCCACTTTCCACTCAGACGCACTGCTCTTGCCAATGGTCCAACCACCCGCTTCAGTGCCCTCCCTCCCTGAGCCTCCGGTGCTCCACCTGCTGCTTTGGTGGCTCTGTAGGCAGAGCTGCAAAGTTCTCTTCTCTGTCTCTGGCTCCTACAGAGCCACCAAAGCTGTAGCTGAATGGGCAGGTGAGGGGGAACCTGCCCCACTTGTTCCACAGCCACTTTTGGCTGAGCCACATTGTAGCAGAATTGGGTGCAATACGCGAGGCGGCAAACAGCCGCATCACACTGATCCACATTGCAGCAGCATTGAGCTCAATACATGAGGTAGCAAACAGCCACATCCTGCTGAAACTGGCTGTTTGCGACCTCCTGCCCAATGCTGCTGCCATGAGGCTGCATAACAACCCAGGCGGTGGTAAGAAACTGGTATACCGGTTCCTTACCTCCGCCCGGCTTGTTCTGCATCCTCATAGCAGCAGCATTGGATGTGATGTGCGAGGTGTTTTTGGTTATTCGGGTTTTCTCCCACGTAAAATTGGAAGTGTCTTGGTGACATTTCGACGAAGTCCCATTCGTCATCTTCAGGCTGGTGTCTTTGGCTTCATGCTTCGTGCTTTTTGCAGGACTGGGGGGAGGAATTACAGGGGAGATGACAATGGCCTTGGGGGTGGGGGAGGATAATGGCCCTGGGAGGGAGGGTGACTGGGTGCAGGGATTCGGTTGATAGCCACCCTCCAAGTGCTTGCACACACTCTAAAAGAGCACTTGAGAATCGTAAAACAACTAGCGGAGGCAAGGACAGTTTGCCTGATGCAGAACAACTCTGCGCGGTACAGATGAATACAATCAACAGGCCAATGATGCACTCAAGGAGCTGGGTGCAGAGACAGGAGGTTATATGAGCTGCCTTCCTGATCTCCTTTTACTCCAACTCTGATGACGTTGGTAGTTTGGCCTGATGAAAGCTTAGGGACTCTTTTTAATCATAGGCTTGTTTATATTAAATAGTCTGGTTTGTTATATCCTGGTGTTCATTATTCTTTCTTATTTGGTATATGTGTGTGTGTGTGTGTGTGTGTGTATCTGTTCAATATATCTTTACTATGTTTTATTCTTTCATTTCATTTTAATTGTTTTGTTTTCCAAATCACATAGCTCCATCCGTTCCTTCAAAGCATTTCATTTAATAACTCTGCTAGAGAAACAATTTCCTTTAGCAAAAGCAAGGAAATAGAAAGTGGATTTGACCTCATGAACTTGGTCACCTTTCCCAACATGTCTTTTCAGTGGGTAAACATTGGAAGAGTGGATGGAGAAGCACCTGAAGGAAACGAATTAATTATTAATGAGGATATGATAGTTTGGCACAGATGGTTCAATCAGGTATCAGTTCAGTGACTGTTGATGGAACACTCTCATATGGGTTCATTGGGCTTGGAAATTTGCCTCTCTGTGGAGTTCCAAAGATGCTTTTTCATGAGGCAACTGGACTTTCTTGTTTTTCTTTGAAGATGTTTCACATCTCATCCAAGAAGCTTCTTCAGCTCTGACTGGATGGTGGGAATGGAAGCATTTATACTCCTTGCAGACAGTTAGTCATTTGTATTCATTTAGAGAGTTGCTGAGGCCACCTGGAGGTTTATCTGTGTCATCTGTGTCATCTGAGTAGTGCAACTGGGTGTGGAGCCTTCTTGGAACTGTTGAAAGGACTGTGTTGTAGACTGGAGATAGTGCCATATCCCTCCCCCTCTGTTGAGAGAGAGCTCTTCAATTTTGACATAGATAGTCTCTCTGATCCCTCTTTCAAATCTGCAGTCCTTTCTGTCCAAAATATGGATGTTGCTGTCTTCAAAAGAGTGGCCTTTGTCTTTTAAATGCAGACTTTCTGTGGAGTCCTTGATATTCTCTGAGCTTGATTGTTTTTTTGCAGATGTTTCATTACCCAACTAGGTAACAACTTCAATGTACTGAAAATGTTACCTAATTGGGTAATGAAACATCTTCAAGAAAATAACCAAGCTCAGAGAGCACCAAGAACTCTACAGTTCAATCCTGTACTGCAAACATTGACTTGAATTGTTTTGTTTTTTTGTTGACATGACTCAATAAAATCCAGCAGATCAAAAACAGAAATAACATTACTTACTGAATGACTGAAATGCAATATAAAGTTGTGATTAACATTTTTGGTGCTTTCATTCAGCATTGAACTTGCCTGTGTGTATGTGTGTGTTTAATGAGAAATTCATTTCTTTATTTCACTGTAGCAACTGAAAGTTCTTGAATAAACCTAGTTTGCACTGAAGCTTTTTTATGTATATTTCATTTGCTAGGTTGTTCCCATTTCAATGTGTAATGAAAATTGTCAGGCTGGTTATCAGAAGAGAAAGACTGAAGGGAAAAAGTTCTGCTGCTATGATTGTGTTCCATGTCCAAAAGGGAAGGTTTCAAACAAGATTGGTAAGTGTTGTTGAAATACTTTAAATTTGCTCATCATATAGATTCAGCTGAGCCCCCTCCCCCCCAAATCAACTATCTCTGGATGAGAGAGAAAGAGAGACCATGCAGACACAACTGAAAGTGAATATTAGCTATAGCTATCTACATCTAATTCAGTTTCAATTAAAATAATGTATACATATTAATGGACTGGACACATTAATTTCTTATTTTTTAATTTTTTTGGGTCTGTGCATCCCTTTGTTTTTGAAAAGCAGCCTTTGAATTGATACTTGAATTGAATGCCATTTTTATAGAAATTTCTTGCTGGTGGGGATAATCTAACACATGAGGATAATTATTTGGGCTGAGTTTTAATCAAATAGCTATACATTGATTTCATTTGCTATACTTTAATTTGTATATATTTAATCAAATTTGTAAAAAGGTGCCATTTAAAATGCATTATTAGCTGGGCACCATTGAAAACAAGATATTGCATTCAGTATTAGTAAAGGTATAAGCACGGTTAAGCATAATTTGATTATCAATTGTTATTACCTGTTATGGCTATTGATTTAGTCATGAATCAGCACTAACATGGGACTTTTCTTTTCAGATACAGATTGTTACAAATGCCCAGAAGATCAGTATGCTAACCATGAAAAAAGCAGATGCATCCTTAAAAGAATAAGCTTTCTTTCTTATGAAGAACCATTAGGGATCAGTTTAGCTTCAGTTGCTGTTTCATTTTCCCTGGTAACACTATGGGTGCTTAGAACTTTTGTTAAGCACAAAGATAGTCCCATTGTCAAAGCCAATAACCGGGATCTCAGTTACATTCTCCTTGTTTGTCTTCTGCTCTGATTTCTTTGTTCGTTGCTCTTTCTTGGACAACCAAGGAAAGTCATCTGCTCTTTTAGACAATCTGCCTTTGGTATCATCTTCTCCATGGCTGTTTCTTGTGTATTGGCCAAAACCATTCTTGTTTCTCTAGCATTTATAGCCACACAGCCTGGATCAAAGATGAGGACATGGGTAGGGAAAAGATTGTCTGTTTCCATTGTCCTTGCTTGCTCTCTTCTCCAAGCAAGAACTTGTACCGTGTGGTTATCAATCTGTCCACCATTCCCTGAGTTAGACATGCATTCAGTAAATGAAGAAATCATTCTGCAATGTAATGAAGGATCAGTCTCCATGTTTTATTATATTCTGGGCTATCTGGGTCTCTTGGCCCTTGCCAGCTTCATTGTAGCTTTCCATGCTCGTAAACTGCCTGACAGCTTTAATGAAGCCAAGTTCATCACCTTTAGCATGTTGGCCTTCTGTAGTGTTTGGGTCTCCTTTGTTCCAACTTATCTGAGCACGAGAGGAAAAGCCATGGTGGCTGTGGAGATCTTCTCCATCTTATGTTCTAGTGCTGGGCTCCTAGGCTGTATCTTTTTCCCTAAATGCTATATCATTGTATTTAGACCTAAACAACAGGGAACACTTAATAAGGAAAATGACAGAGTAATTTGTCATTCATATATACATTCATGTATTTTGCAAAAAGCATGATATTCACTGTCAATAAATTGCTAATCTATTTTAATTAGAGAGTCATTTTAGTTGAGAGCAAATACCAATCTTATCTAGCATCTTTGCTCTAAAGAGGTCATATCATTTTTCTACTGATGGCCATAAATCACTCATGGATAAAATATTATTTTGTTCAGGAATTCTCTTAAGAAACAGATAGTTTTCAGTTGATATTTATCCCATATCATATTGTATCACAATTCTCAGCAGCTCACATAGAAAAAAAAATACAATATAAAGCATATATTGTGACAAGGAACCTGCTCTGAGACAACCAGATGGAACTTAACCTGAGTACACAGTGAGCACTTCAAGAACCTAAACCTAACATGCTCACTCATGTGAGTAGGGTTTATGTAATGGGGGGGGGGAAGCAGCTAGTCTGTTTCCCTTGTTGTATTTGAAACTCTTGTCACTTTGATTTTGAAGTTTCTTGCAACTGAAAGTGCAACTGATCGTGTCATGTGTGGGATCTGAGATAGGAGAGATAAGAAGATCAAATCAAATCAAATATGCAAAAAGATTCTCCAAAACATCTGGGTTTTCAACAGTTTTCATAGGCCAACAAAAGAGGCAGCTGTTCTACAGTTTTCATTCTGTAATATTCTCTTCTTACATAAACTCTCCAAACCTCTTTAGAATAAGGGATTCTCAACAAATTTTCACTATGTTAATCTAATTGATAGAGCCAAATCTGGCCAAAAAAGCTTGTCCATACCTATCTGGATGCCATTTCATGGAGGGCATTATAGGTCAGAATTGTGCCTTAAATTGGATCTGGAAATCAATTAGAGACCCTTGCCAAACTTGTATTATGTTGTCAGGAGCCTGAGGGATGCATTTTGAACCTACTGTATTTTCTGAATATTCTCTAAGGGAAGCCCCAACTTGAGCTAAGCTGATATGTTTTGAACAATTTTTTTTATTTGTCTGAATGACATTTTCATGTAATATTAGCCACTGTTGGATGTATCCTTTGTGAATTTATCAAATCTCTGTAAAGTCATCTCAACTGACAATAATCTCTACATTTTGTGCTGGTAAAAGTGTATGATAGCTATCCTGTGACTAGCATAGATGGAGTAAAGGATAACACTATTGTGTTTATTAAACTGATTTTATTAATCTATATAAATAATTCTACTCTGACCACCTTTAAATGAAACCACTGTTTGTGAATTCCATATAGGTTTTTCAGATGAATGGTGAGGTTGGGAAGGATGGAGAGATAGAGATAGAAAAAATGAGGCAATAGTAATTATGAACATTCCTCATTGCTTTTGGTGGTTGAACATACTCACTCTTGAATGAGCATCTTTTTTCAATTAATTGCCTTCATTCCTCATCTGCATTCAGCCCTACTGTCAACTGTCCCAACTTGGTCAGCTAGGAAAGAAAGACTCCCAGCCCATAACTAGCTAAAAGCACACTTCACCAAAGCCAAAGTGGTTTCAGAAGAGGCAAAGCTGGATCTGAGATTTTCCTGCAAAAAAGATACAGTTAACATTCCCTTGTTTCCTGCCAATCCCCTGGTTATCATTCAATGTCCAACTGGGTGTTAACAAACTGTTTAGGAAACAGTTCTTGTCTTTGCATGCTGACCATTCCACATTCTTTTGGTATGGCATTGAGACATGCTTCTGATGCTTCTCAAGGGACAGTATTGCTTGGTTTTGAAAATCTTTGGTGCCTTCCCTTTGTCCGTACCTCCACTGCTCCCTCCCCCTGTTACTGATGTCAGGCTGTCAGTTTGCAATGTATAGCTTAGCAAAATGGAAACCATGACACCTACATTATCTCCTTGCAGAGTCCAATCTTTCAAAATAAAGGGACACAAATGAAAGGTTTTTAAGTCTTCATTTTTATTAAGTTCTCCTTGGAATTCAACTCAGGCCTCAGAACAATAATATAAAATTTCGGGAAAAATATACAACCAAGTAGTCCCAAAGTGGAAGCTAAAATGGAGAAGATCTCCAGAGCTACTGTATACTTCCCTTTGATGCTCAAGTAGGCTGGAATGAAGGAAAACCAAACAGCGCAAAAAATCAACATGCTGAAGGTGATAAACTTGGCTTCATTGAAGCTATCTGGCAACTTCCTAGTCTGAAAAGCCACTATGAAACTGATGATGGACAAAAGGCCCAGGTAACCCAAGGCAAGATAAAACATGTTGGAAGAACCTTCATTGCATCTGACTATAATTTCAGTGATTAGAGTATTATGGTCCAGATCTGGGAAAGGAGGAGAGATGGCCAACCATACTACACAGATAGCTGCTTGCAAAAGGGAGCAAGAAAGAATTATACCTCTGGCCAATCTTTTCCCCACCCACTTTCTCAGGCTGGACCCTGGTTTGGTGGCCATGAAAGCCACAACAACAGTGATGTTTTTGGCCAACAGGCAAGATACCACTGCTGAGAAGATGAAGCCAAAAGCTGCTTGCTGGAGTAGGCAGGTTATTGTCCCAGGTTGTCCAATGAATAAAAAAGAGCAGAGAAAACAAAGAAGGAGGAACCCAAGGAGGGCATAAGTGAGTTCTCTATTGTTCGCTTTGACAATCGGCGTATCTCTGTGCTTTATGAAAATTCCTAGCAAGAAAAGCGTGAGGAGAGAAAAAAATAGAGCAAGAGATGCTAAACAAGCCCCTAAAGGATCTTGATAAGATAGGAAAATCATAGTTTTGAGAATGCAGTGGTCATGGTGCCTGTTTGGGTATTGATCCTCTGGACATTTGAAGCAGTCATTCATATCTGAGGAAAATAACAACAAATCATACATTTTCTGACTTCTTTCTCCATTGGCCAGTCCTTTATCAGGACAAACATTTGTTATATAGGTAGTCCTTAACTTACAGGACTTCACTTGATGATCATTCAAAGTTACAATGGCACTGAAAAAAGTGAGTTATTATCTTTTTTCACACTTATGACTTTTGGAATATCCCCATGGTCACGTGACCAAAATCCAGACTCTTGGCAACTGACTCATATTTCTGATGGTTGAGTGTCCCCCAATCCCCTTTTGTGACCTTCTGAAAAGCAAAGTCAGTGGGGGAACCCAGATTCACTTAACAACCATGTTACTAACTTAACAACTTCACTGATTCACTTACACTACCCACTGTGGCAAGAATTGTTGTAAATGGGGCAAAACTCACTTCACAAATGTTTTGCTTAGCAACAGAGATTTTGGGCTCAATTGTGTTGTAAGCTGAGGATTACTTGTAATTCATCCAGGTTTCTAGTCTATCCTTTCTTCTCAGAAGGCTTCCTCAAGTCCCTGTATCCTCATTATATCTTTATTCTGAGACTTCTCCAGCCTGTCAATAACCTGCTAGAAATGTGGTGCTCAAATTGTACACAGAAATTTCCCCTGGCTGGTTTTCTCCAGTACACTTTCCCTTTCACCTGTCCCCTTCCTATATATTAAGAGCAGCGTTGAAATGAAGTAGGCATTTCCTTGGAAGAGTAGAATGGAGAGGCAACTTATTTTTAAAAATTTCTTACCTTTCTGGTTTGAAATCTTCCCTTCTGGGCAATGAACACAATTGTAACAACAAAATTTCTCTCCTTCTTTCTTTTCTTTTCGATAACCAGGCAGACAGGAAGGGTTACATACAGAAATGGGCCGTATCTAACCATAGAAAGAAAAACGGTTTCAGGACTGGACAAATGGTGAAGAATAGTATTTCATTTTTAAGTTATTCAGTAGCTCTGTGATACAATTTTCAGACAGCTACTATTGACTGAGCAGATATAGCTAAAAAAGGAAATAGAGATACAACTATTCCTCATTTACTAGCACAAAAATGTTATACTGTAATATTCTTTCCCCTGCAATTGTTGTTTCTTCTAATGAATTAAGATAGATAAACCAGTATAAATCATAGGTAACTAGACAGACACCCATTGAGCCGACATGCCTAGGAAGAAATGCAGCAGATAAATCCATAAAGTCATAACTTTACATAACTTGTATTTTGTTGTATTTTAATCAATTTACAATTGCATCAATGGCTCTCTATCTTCCTAAACATGATTCCAAGTGCCCAATAAAATAAAAGTAAATGAGGTATAACTATAAAAGAAAAATGTGGACTCAGTTACTCTTCTGCTGACAGTGGTAGGAAAGAAGATAGATATAGGAAAGACTAACCAAACAGAATAACAGAGTTGGAATGGACCTTTGAGGTCTTCTATTTCAAACCCCTGGTCAAGCAAGAGATCTTATACCATTTCAAACAAAACCTCCAGTGATGGAGAACGCACAACTTCTGGGGGCATGTTTTTCCACTGATTAATTGTTCTAATTGTAAGGAAATTTCTCCTTACTGCTAGGTTGGTTGTTTGGTTCTCTTCTTGACTAGCTTTGATTCATTGCTTCTTGTTCTACCTTATAATAAAAGGCTAGGGTATTCCTGATGGAATCTAATAAATCACTAGCAATTATGAGACCCTTTCTGGTATATATTTTCAGGTCTGTTTTTTATTTCTTGGAGAAATAAAACCTATTTTACAAAGCACAGAAGGCAAGACATGAATGGATGGAAACTAATCAAGGAGAGAAGCAACAAAGAACTAAGGAGAAATCTCCTGATAGTGAGAAGAATTAATCAGTGAAACAAGTTGCTTTCAGAAGTTGTGGGTGCTCCATCACTTGAGGCTTTTAAGAAGAAACTAAGCACCCATTTGTCTGCAATGGTATAGGGTCTCCTGCTTGAGCAGGGGGTTGGACTAGAAGACCTCCAATGTTCCTTCCAATCTGTTATTCTGTTATGGATGGATATATCCAGAATTGTTTCTGTCTCTGAAAATGAACATAAGGATACACGAGAATTTAGGAACATCTGGAATCTACTATACTTCACCTGGTTAAATCCTTGGTGCCAAACAATTTTATCCTCATCTACAGTTAAATATCTCCCATCAGAAGTGTAAGGATTTACTCTTCCAATTTTAAGCCTGTGGAAGGAGTTGTTTGGAAAGACAACCAAGTTCGTAATTTCAAGACCAGTTGGCATTTCTCCATGCTTATCCAGGAAGACAATATCTGCAGCAGAATTATTGAACGAAATGTCTTGAAGAAATAGATGAAGCTAGTTATAAGCAGGGGAAAAACATTAATCACCTTTGGTTTTCTGTATTTATTTATTTATTTATTTATGAGACTTATATACCGCTTTAAGTGCAAGCACTCTCTAAGCGGTGTACACCAGTAAGCAATGTATATATATATTTACATTGCCCCCAACAATCTGGGTCCTCATTTTACCTACCCCGGAAGGATGGAAGGCTGAGTCAACCTTGAGCCGGTAAGATTTGAACCGCTGACCTACTGAACACAGTCAGCTAAAGTGACCTGCAGTACTGCACTCTAACTGCTGCGTCACCTCGGCTCTCTGTATGGAAGGTTTTTTGTGCTTTTTTTTAAAATGATGTACAGTGGAAACCTTTTGGGAAAAGTGTGCAATAATGTCACCTTTGGTTAAGTTTACACAATTTTTCTTCTAATTTCTTTATAACTGTAGCCTTGTTCACTTAAGAATACTATTTTACATCACTTTCTGGGCAACCAATCAACTTTTTGCACCATTACTTTAATTTTATTTCATTTTACAAGCTCACCAAATGAAAGAACACAAAAAAACTCAACCAACTTGATAGTGATCACATAACACACTGACAAATGTCCTCCTCTCAGCTTCTTTACACAACTTCATTAACAATTTCCTACTGTGATCTGATTGGCTCATTGCCAAAACAAGATGACACCTGATTGGCTCTCTAAACGCTCATGCTCATTGGCTACAGTTAGATGAAGGAAAGCTACCTGATATCACCTAAGCAACTTGCTCTTCCTTTTTCTGGTTATTTGACTATAACCTTTCATAGAATACAGTACAGATAATTGAACCAAAGTTGTTGCATTACATTCTTGATTAAATTATCTTTCCATTGATATATAATTTTATGGTACTACTCCCCAAAAAAGTGGTGTTATTAGCCATCAAACCTCAAAAATACACTTTTCCCGAAAGATTTCTACAATTTTGGCCAGTATTGTATAATGCCCTAAATCTTTTTTATTGTTATTGATATTCTGCACATTGTAAACTGTTTACATGAATTCATTGTGGATTAATTTTTTTATTTCTCAGAAACCAGACTACATTCCCACACTACATTCTATAGATCCATAAACGGTAATCTGCTAAAGAGTTACTGGTACTTTTGAAGACAAGTCAGGATCCTATACAGTTAAACTTTTCGACAAGACCGGGAAGACATGATTTACATGAACCTTTGGAAGCACATTGGGTGACTGAACTAATTCTTCTCCATGTCAGTTTGAGTAATGTTGTCAAGATAAATTGGAGGAGGGAATATTGCATTTAGCTGCTGAATAGGACCGTGTGCTGAGATAGAAAGTTCAAAGAACAATCTAAGAGAATGGGACATTCCTGTAGAAGATACTGTATGGGAATATGGAGAACAACCCATCTCACATATGTTATGCTGTATATAATGTCCTTCAACAGGTATGGAGGATGACCTCACGCTGACAAAGAAAGTATTGTCAATGTGGCCTGCTACTGGGAGAATGTCATTTATTCCATTTATTTTACATATTTTACAATTTAAAACACATGCTATGTTTCTATGACCTATTTTATACCTATTGTACTAGCTCAGTGTTGAATATTATATGTCTATACTTTGAAGGTGCTTCTGATACGAATAAAGAAAAGCTTCTGAATAAAGGACACCATATACAACCAATAAATTATTAATATAATAAATAAGCATTGTGAATCTACATCCACTATTCATATCTTATAGCAGAGTTTTCTATGGGAATAAAGTATTTTCAGTTCCTATGGAGGTTACATCATTTCATCCTTGATATGGATGATAAAGGGTGACATGATAGCAGTGTTCCAATATGAGAGGGACAGTCACAAAGAACAAAGAGTTGACCAATTCTCCAAAGCAACTGAAGGTGGCGCAGCAGTTAGAGTGCAGTACTGCAGGCCACGTTAGCTGACTGTGTTCAGCAGGTCAGCGGTTCAAATCTCACCGGCTCAAGGTTGACTCAGCCTTCCATCCTTCCGAGGTAGGTAAAATGAGGACCCAGATTGTTGGGGGCAATGTAATATATATATATATATATATATATATATATATATATATATATATATATATACATATACACATTGCTTACTGGTGTACACTGCTTAGAGAATGCTTGCACTTAAAGTGGTATATAAGTCTCATAAATAAATAAATAAATAAATAAATAAATAAATAAATAAATAAGGCAAGACAAGCAATGGATGGAAACTAATCAAGGACAGAACGAACGTAGAACTAAGAAGAAATTCCCTGACAGTAAGAACAATAAACCAGTGAAACAGCTTGCCTTCAGTTATTATGGGGGCTCCAATGCTAGAGTCTTTTAAGAAAGGACTCGACAACCATTTGTCTAAAATGGTATAGTGTTTCCTGCTACACAGGAGGTTAAACTAGAAGATCTCCAAAGTCCGTTCCAACTCTATTATTCTGATATCTTAGTATCACTTAATTAATCCGATAGGAGATAAATTACCTGCCAGGGTTTTAGTTTCTGAAGATTAATATCTTGGTGAGCCATCTTTGCTTTCCTTTTCGATTGAGATGAATAGATTTTATGTAAAGCATGTGCTGCTGCGTACATGGCATTATAAATACTGTAACTATGAGCAGCCATGGGCATTTCAAAAAAAGAACCAGGAAGACTCTCTATCTTTTCCTCTCCAGTGCATATCTTATTGACCGTTAATGTCCCAGTGGAATTTGTGAAAAGACACCCAAATGATTGTTCCCAAAACTCCTTGAGAAAAGTATCTTCTCTTGTCCCAAATGGCTGGAGCCCCTGAAGAAATGTATGGAACCCCTGAACTTCATTGGACTGAACTGTCAGAGAAATGGCTCCTCTGAATTTCTGCAAATGCCATCCTTTCTGGAAGCTCATTAATGCAAAATCAATCTGAGCTGTCATGATCCACACCTTCCCACCAGGAGTAATGTCTTCGGGTAGACTACTGACTGTTTCTATCATTAAGGTCAACCAAATAAATGAACTTGTTTCTCCATAAACAATAAAGACTTTGGCTTTTCCTTGCATCATATGTAGATTATATTTTTCAGCTGTTTCCCATGTATCTTCATAGTTGGGAATATAAGCTTGTTTTGGAGTTCTTTCAATGAAGTCTGAACAGATTCCATTCTTGGAAAACAAGGACTGCAAGCTTTGTAGGAAAAGTGTCCCACTGTTATCATCTACAATGAAGAGGCCAACCCAAGTCCATCCAAAATGTTGTAACACATGGATTATCCCCAAACCTTGATGGGCTTCATTAGGGACAACACGGTAAAAGGAAGGAGTTTTATACTTTTTTTCTGGGACAAAAGAGCCATATGTAATCTACAAAAAAAAAATAATAATAATAATATATAAGAAAATCAACACACAAAAAAAGTCAATGGATTGGTGGATGATTTTCAGTAGATGCCTTGTTATGCACAGCATGCAGGCAGCTAATTTAGTTCATAGTTCACATGCTAAGTGAAAATGAACATAATGGAGGGGAAAAAAAGTCTGAATTTAATAAAGTTGAAAAGTGACCTCGTTATTTCCTACAAGCAGAAAACTGATTTTCTTGTCGCTAGTTTTGAGGGATGTTTGATCCCATGTACCTAACATATTGAAATTTTAACATTTAAATTTTGCACACACTCTCTCCCCCTGTTAGTTAGTGACTAAATTCCATGCTCAATGATTATGAATAACATGAGACACAAACTATTAGTTTTATTCATTTATAACATAAAATGTGAAAATACAAAAGCAAATTGTAGGGGACTACAGTAAAAAAAGGGAAAACAAAAAAGGTGTGGAAAAAGGGAGAGGACGAAACAAAAGGTATTGACTTCCATTTCTCTCTGTTGCAGTAAAATCAAACATTAAAATCAAATCTCAACTTTTTACATTTCTATAATAGTATGCTCTAGCCATTTCTATATCAGCAAATCAGTCTAATCGGTAAAACTCAAAATCATAAAATATTTTTTTCCACCTCAAGCACAAAGCCCAGAAGTGGTTTCCAAGTAGAAATAAAAATGCTTCTGTTCTTTTCTTTTATCAGCACAATTTGGCCATCTCTGCTAATTCCATCAGCTTTTGTAACCATTGTCCATGGTAGGAATCGAGGCATCCTTCCACTTTTGTGCATAGAGCAATCTTGCTGCTGTCACCATATATAAAATCAGAGTTACATTTTTTTTTCCCAGTTCTCCTTCCATTAGACCCAGAAGGAAAGTTTCTGATTGAATCTTCATGTTCACTTTAAGAATTTTCTGCATTAATATATGATGTCTGAGTTTGGCGATTTGACTGCAAACATTTTATCTCCATTTGAGGGGAGGGAGACATCTTCATGCACTTTGAATTGTGCAGCACAATTCAAACTGCACTGAATATGCCCCCCCCCCGAATGGATATAAAATGTTTGCAAATAAATTGCTAAGCTCATATATCAAACCAACAGCCCAACTATTATCCCGAGCTATTAATATTCAAATACATCTCAACCATATTAGATCTCTTTCCATGAGTCTAATATATTCCCTTTCCAAATAGGTTCATAAAATTTAATTTAATTTAAAGACACTGCATAGTCTTTAAAATGTTAGCAAAGGAAATAAAATGACCACTGGTCTCTTTAGATATGAGGGTAGTAAATAATTCATTTTTCATTCAGATATGTGCTGCTAATTCTGCCACAAGAAGTTTGGGAATGCCAAGAAAAAGAGGAAACAGCGGGTTTAAGAAAATGTCCAATTGTCTCTGAAATTTTTTAGTGCTTTCTGAGCTTCGTTGTTTTCTTGCAGAGGTTTCATTACCCAAGCTAAATACCAACATCACTAACACTGATGATGTTACCTAGTTTGGGTAACAAAACCTCTGCAAGAAAACAACCAGGCTCACAGAGCACCAAGGATGCCTTATTTCAACCCTCAGCTACAAATATTCTCCTTTACTGGGATGTTTTACCTGTGGAATTTTGTAGAGGCTTAAGATAACTGCCATGTCCAAGGAAACATCGTAGCCAATCCCCCCAATGACAGCAATGAGATTTTTCTCCATCCCACATTGGAAGTTGGGAACAAACCAGTCAACTTTTGAAAGCAGATCCAAGATATTGCGATAGACCATCCTTGCATCATAATAGCTGTCATAAATATGGAATCCAAGGGTGATGTTGGGCAAAAGGTGAGTATCCTTATTGATCTCATTTACACAAAAATCCAAGGCCAGCAGGTGCTGGTAGAACTTGGTGATCATGCTGTCAACAGAGAAATATATTGCAGTTTTAGTAATTTTCACCTTTGTACTGTGCAAAACAAATGTTTGTTTTATTGAACTCTCTTTCAATCCCTCTTTATATTTCCATTCTAAAATAAAATACAGACACTCTGCCCAATTTTATGCCTTACAATTGTATCTACCTCTGAAATTCACCTTCTTGTACATTCATGTGATGGTGTAATCTATGATTGTATTTATTGTAATATGCTTCTTAGAAAAGGCTTGAAGCAGAATAATAAACCAATTTGGTCAGATATCTAAACCATGACTATCTACAAAAACTAATATTACACAATCAAAATTCTGGAAAGGATGTAAACAAAGTCCTCTTTCTAAGCCATTTTCTTCATACTGTGAATGGGAGCTCCATGTAATAATAATTCACAATAAGAATCAGAAAAAATGACCTCAAAATTATGGAGAAATGTTCAGTTTTGTCTTTTCACTACTCACTAGCCATGCCATCTATAGAGTTAATTATGAGTATCTTTTACATCACTACCATCTAATCACTGTAATTCCTCCAACACTATGAGTAAACTGTGGCTGAAACCCATTTTATATTACAAATGTTGAATTGAAAATAAAACTTACACTGGAAGATCAAAACTTATCTCCTGCAAGGGGTGTTCCATGTAGTAAACTTCACTTAAAATATACATTATCTGAGAGAGCATCCCCCCTATGAAGATATCACCTGAGTGATACCTCTCGTGAGGAACAGGGAGAGGTTTTGTTGCGGGACACTTCATTTTAACTAGTTAATATGCTGTAGAAACTCTTTCAAATTGAATTATGATACTAGCCAGAGAGGGATCTTCATAAGCAAAGATTCTCCTGTGATCAACCTGATTGAGCAGCAGGTTGGACCAGAAGTCCTCCCAGGTCCCTTTCAACTCTGATATTCTGCTCATGGGCTGCAATCTAACTAAAGTCAGCATCATGAATGTCAAGAGAATTATTAGAAAATCAGCTCATAAATATTAAATATGTTGTACAGATTTGATCTCACAACTACACAATAAAGAGATGACATTCTTAATAGTTAAAATGGAGAAACTGTTCCTAACAGAGTAACATTAAATGGCATCCACAGAAGAGTTTATAACCAGTTTTGGTCATGTATCAAGCACCCAGTTTGATAAAGAAAATACATTTTTAAACCCTGTAATTATCTCTTGTCACCAAGTGTATCATTTCATTATCATTATAAATCATTTGTGATTGGTTCTTCAGATGTTTATTGGATTAATAATAAATCAGGAAAAGGCAGGTAGCAGCTTATAAAATAGAAGGAATGTGTGACAGAGGGGAAAATGGAGAGGAAGAAAGAAAAGTAGATGTTGGGGTCATTGAAGAACATATTCTGAAATCTTATTTTTGCTTGTTGGCCATGAAGGAGCAGAGGTGATTTCAGAGCAGATCTGGAGTGGGGGGAAAAATAATAACACTAAGTTAGCATCGCAATACTAATACCCAGTGGAACCTTTCTAATTATACTACTTTGCGCATTTCTCTCAGGTGCTCACTGTCTTTCAGAAGCAAATAAGGAAATCTAAAAACTTATTTTTAATTTCTTGTGTTCAGAAAGCCAGGTTCCAATATGAGGAAGTGGATGGGAAAATAGAAAACTTAACTCTACTATTCTTTCCTGATCTTTTCAAGCAAGCTTGTTTACAGCATGGTTGTCAATGTTACCCCCATTCCCTGAGTTAGACATGTACTCAACAGCTAAATAAATCATTCTTCAATTCCACGAAGGGTTATTTTTTATATTTTATAGTGTCCTTGGCTATATGGTCCTCCTTTCATTTGCAAGCTTCATTGTGGCTTTCTAGGTTCATAATCTACCTGATAGCTTTGATGAAGCCAGGTTCATCTCCTTCATAATGTTGGCATTTGGCAGTTAGTTTTCTTTGTAAGTATATTAGAAGTATACTTAAGTATACCTAAGTACCAAGAAAAAAAATCATGGTGGCTATGGAGGTCTTCTCCATCTTGTTGTTGTTGTTAGTTGCGAAGTCATGTTCGACCCATTGTGAACCCATGGACAATGTTCCTCCAGGCCTTCCTTTCCTCTACCATCTTCTGGAGTCCATTTAAGCTCACGCCTACTGCTTCAATGATTCCATCAAGCTACCTTATTCTCTGTCGTCCCCTTCTTCTATTGCCCTCAATCTTTCCCAGCATCAGGCTCTTTTCCAGTGAGTCCTTCCTTCTCATTAGGTGGCCAAAATATTTGAATTTCAGCTTCAGGATCTGGCCTTCTAAAGAGCAGTTGGGGTTGATCTCTTCTAGGACTGACCGGTTTGAACACCTTGCAGTCCAAGGGACTCGCAGGAATCTTCTCCAGCACCATAGTTCAAAGGCCTCAATTCTTTTGTGCTTAACCTTTCTTATGGTCCAAGGTTCACAGCCATACATTGCAACTGGGAAAACCATAGCCTTGACTGTCCACACTTTTGTTGGCAGGGTGATGGAATATAATAAAACTATGTACATTAAAATAGAGGGGCTCTAAAAATATGAGAAAATAACTGAGCAAAGGATTAATAAGAATGAGTGGCTTGAGGAAGAGATTTCTTATGCCTCTTTTTTTCCCTTCTCTCCTTGCCAAGGGACTTGCAGGAGTCTTCTCTATCTTATGCAACCAGTAATGCAGTCTTCTCTATCTTATAGAAAAGAATGCATTACTGAGATGCAGCTTTTTCTCTAAATGCTACATAATTTTATTGGAGCCTCAACTGAATAACAGAAAACAAATGGAAGGAGAGGAGGAAGGAAGGAAGGAAGGAAGGAAGGAAGGAAGGAAGGAAGGAAGGAAGGAAGGAAGGAAGGAAGGAAATTCTGATAAAGTTATAATTTATTTTCACTGAAATCTATGACCCCGGTATTCAGACTTTTGATGTCAAGATCTTTCTTCCTTATTTTATTACAATCACTAAGCAGAGTATCTGGTTAATAGGCAATTGAACAGAATAATTTATGGCAAGATCATGGATGCTATAGAAATGAATCTGGTTTTACAAACAATATAGCAAAATGAGGCCCCTGACACTTATATTCATAGAACCTGAATGGCACTAACACTTAGGCCTTATATACTGCTTTGTAATGCTTTACAGCCCTCTCTTAAGCTTATGTTATGTTATCTTATGTTATGTTTTTAAGACCAAAGAAATGTAGCAGAGCACAGAATTTCCTGGAACTGAAAAAAGTTTTTGCTTGGCTTCAGATTCACTTCCTTTCTCTGTGTCTCTTGCACAGTAATAAACTGCTGTGTCTTCTGGCTTGAGGTTGTTCATTTGCAAATACAACAGACTATTGGAATCATCTTTGGAGATGATGAAGTGTCCCTTTACATTATGTGAATAGTAAGTGCTAGATGATCCTGTACTTATGCGGGCCACCCATTCCAGTCCTTTCCCTGGGTACTGTCTCACCCACTCCATGTAGTAGCTGCTGAAGGTGAATTCACCTGTGCATTCCTTTGTTTTGGAAAAGCAGCCCTTGAATTGATACTTGAATTGAATGCCATTTGTGTAGAAATTTCTTGCTGGTGGGAATAATTGAACACACGAGGATAATTATTTGAACTGAGTTTTAATCAAATAGCTATACACTGATTTCATTAGCTATACTTTAATTTGTATATATTTCATCAGATTTGTAAAAAGGTGCTATTTAAAATGCATTATTAGATGGGCCCCATTGAAAACAAGATATTGCATTCACTATTACTAAAGGTATAAGCACAGTTAAGCGTAATTTGATTATCAATTGTTATTACCTGTTATGGCTAGTGATTTAGTCATGAATCAGCACTAACATGGGACTTTTCTTTTCAGATACAGATCGTTACAAATGCCCAGAATATCAGTATGCTAACCATGAAAAAAAGCAGATGCATCCTTAAAAGAATAAGCTTTCTTTCTTATGAAGAACCATTAGGGATCAGTTTAGCATCAGTTGGTGTTTCATTTACCCTGGTAACACTATGGGTGCTTAGAGCTTTTGTTAAGCGCAAAGATAGTCCCATTGTCAAAGCCAATAACCAGGATCTCAGTTACATTCTCCTTGTTTGTCTTCTGCTCTGATTTCTTTGTTCTTTGCTCTTTCTTGGACAACCAAGGAAAGTCATCTGCTCTTTTAGACAATCTGCCTTTGGTATCATCTTCTCCATGGCTGTTTCTTGTGTATTGGCCAAAACCATTCTTGTTTCTCTAGCATTTATAGCCACACAGCCTGGATCAAAGATGAGGACATGGGTAGGGACAAGATTGTCTGTTTCCATTGTCCTTGCTTGCTCTCTTCTCCAAGCAAGAACTTGTACCGTGTGGTTATCAATCTGTCCACCATTCCCTGAGTTAGACATGCATTCAGTAAATGAAGAAATCATTCTGCAATGTAATGAAGGATCAGTCTCCATATTTTACTGTATTCTGAGCTATCTGGGTCTCTTGGCTCTTGCCAGCTTCATTGTAGCTTTCCATGCTCGTAAACTACCTGACAGCTTTAATGAAGCCAAGTTCATCACCTTTAACATGTTGGCCTTTTGTAGTGTGTCGGTCTTCTTTGTTCCGTCTTATCTGAGCACTAGAGGAAAAGCCATGGTGGCTGTGGAGATCTTCTCCATCTTATGTTCTTGTGCTGGGCTCCTAGGCTGTTTCTTTTTCCCTAAATGCTATATCATTGTATTTAGACCTAAACTAAATAACAGGGAACACTTAATAAGGAAAATGACTGAATAATTTGTCATTCACATATACACTCATATATTTTGCAAAATGCATGATATTCACTGCCAATAAATTGCTAATCTATTTTAATTATAGAGTCATTTTAGTTGAGACCAAATACCCATCTTATCTAGCATCTTTGCTCTAAAGAGGTCATATCATTTTTCTACTGATGGCCATAAATCACAATTCTGAACAGCTCACATAAAAAAATGCAATATAAAGCATATCCAAGAGAAATATAAAAACATTACAGCAATACAAAGATGATACACTCAGAATATTAGGTTATATCCAGCTCTGACTCAGAGGATTGTGACAAGGAACCTGCTCTGAGACAGCCAGATTGAAATCAACCTGAGGATAGAGTGAGCACTTCAACAACCTAAACCTAACATGGTCCCTCCTGTGACTAGGGTTTATGTAATGGGGGAAAAAAGCAGAATGGTCTGACTACTGACTACTTAAACACCAGATGTTTTCCAAGCATTGATTAGGCTCACCAACATGTTGTTATGGTTCCGACTAATGAAACACTTCAAAGAACTTCCAGGCATTGATTTCCCTAAAAGTCTTTTATTGATTCAAAATGTCGGCACAGGCCTAATGGGGTCTATGCTAAGATCTATGTTCTCTTCCTCTGAGCAGTTACATTATCAGCATGTTCCCTCCCTAAATTAGTTGTCTTATATCACATTATCCAATTAGTGTGAAGGTCAAAGGTTCCCTTCCTCTTTCTTTCCCGGGCTTTACCCCCACCCTCTTCTGCTCTGTATTAACCCCAAAAATACCAGACAGTTCTGCATATTCTCAAAGCAAGAATATACAGTATTTGCAGTGTTGACACATGACTTCTATTTATAAGCCACAGCTAGTCTGTTTCCCTTGTTGCATTTGAACCATTATTGTGCTCCTGAAACTCTTGTCACTTTGATTTTGAGGTTTCTTGCAACTGAATGTGCAACTGATCATGTCATGTGTGGGATCTGAGATAGGAGAAATGAAAGATCAAATCAAATCAAATATGCAAAAAGATTCTCCAAAACATCTGAGTTTTCAACAGTTTTCATAGGCCAACAAAACTATTCTACAGTTTTGGTTCTGCAATATTCTCTCCTTCCCTAAACTCTCCAAACCTCTTTAGAATAAGGGATTGTCAACAAATTTTCACTAGGTTAATCTAATTGATAGAGCCAAATCTGGCCAGAAAAGCTTGTCCATACCTATCTGGATGCCATTTCATGGAGGGCATTATAGGTCAGAATTGTGCCTTAAATTGGATCTGGAAACCAATTAGAGACCCTTGCAAAACTTGTATTATGTTGTCAGGAGCCTGAGGGATGCATTTTGAATCTACTGTATTTTCTGAATATTCTCTAAGGCAGTGAAGGCGAACCTTTTAGAGACTGAGTGCCCAAAAACTGGCCCCGCCTCCACTCCACCCTCCTGCCCTGCCCCTGCTCTGCCTTCCCATTCCCTGCCCCCCCTGTCCACAGGACCACTCACTGCCTCCACAGCCCGCCGCAGATTGCCTAGGCAGCCCAGCAGTGCTATGGCAGCCACACCCTCTGCCCGTGCCCCTGCATCATCAACTGCATGATGGGGTGTGAGGGCAGAGTCTTTTCTATTCTGTCTGGCTGCCATGTCCTTGGCTGCACTGCTCCATGTGGGCCATGCTCGAGGACGACTCTCCTTCAGGGTGGCCAGTGGAGAGGAGGGGGTCACAGGGGGAGGCAAGGTTGGGGCAATGGCACGTGTCCCCACAGAGAGGGCTCCGAGGGCCGCCTCTGGCACCCATGCCATAGGTTCGGCACCATGCTCTAAGGGAAACCCCAACTTGAGCTAAGCTGATATGGTTTTGAACAATTTTTTCATTTGTCTGAATGACATTTTCATGAAATATTAGCCATTGTTGCATGTATCCTTTGTGAATTTATCAAATCTCTGTAAAGTGATCTCAAGTGACAATAATCTATATTTTGTGCTGATGAAAGTGTATTATAGTTGTCCTGTGACTAGCATAGATGGAGGAAAAGATAACTCTATTGTGTTTATTAAACTGACTTTATTAATCTATATAAATATTTCTACTCTGACCACCTTTAAATGAAACCACTATTTGTGAACTCCATATAGCTTTTTCAGATGAATGGTGAGTTTGGGAGGGATGGAGAGATAGAGATAGAAAAAAAATGAGGCAATAGTCATTATGAACATTCCTTATTGCTCTTGGTGGTTGATCATACTCACTGTTGAATGAGCATCTTTTTTTCAGTTAATTGCCTTCATTCCTCATCTGCATTCAGCCCAACTGTCCCAAGTTGGTCAGCCAGTAAAGAAAGACTCCCAGCCCATGGCTAGCCAAAAGCACACTTCACCAAAGCCAAAGTGGTTTCAGAAGTGACAAAGCTGGATCTGAGATTTTTGTGCACAAAAGATACAGTTAACAGTCCCGTGCTTCCTGCCAATCCCTTGGTTATCAGTCAATGTCCAACTGGGTGTTAACAAACTGTTTGGGAAACAGTTCCTGTCTTTGCGTGCTGACCATTCCACATTCTTTTAGTATGGCATTGAGACAGCTGATGCTTCTCAAGAGACAGTATGGCTTGGTTTTGAAAATCTTTGGTGCCTTCCCTGTGTCCCTACCTCCACTGCTCCCTCCCCCTGTTACTGATGTCAGGCTGTCAGTTTTCAATGTATAGCTTAGCAAAATGGCAACCATGATACCTACATTATCTTCTTGTAGAGTCCAATCTTTCAAAATAAAGGGACACAAATGAAAGGTGTTTAAGTCTTCATTTTTATTAAGTTCTCCTTGGAATTCAACTCAGGCTGCAGCACAATATTATAAAATTTGGGGAAAAATATACAACCAAGTAGTCCAAAAGTGGAAGCTAAAATGGAGAAGATCTCCAGAGCTACTGTATACTTCCCTTTTATGCTCAAGTAGGCTGGAATGAAAGAAAACCAAACAGCGCAAAAAATCAACATGCTGAAGGTGATAAACTTGGCTTCATTGAAGCTATCTGGCAACTTCCTAGTCTGGAAAGCAACTATGAAACTAATGATGGACAAAAGGCCCAGGTAACCCAAGACAAAATAAAACATGTTGGAAGAACCTTCATTGCATTTGACTATAATTTCAGTGATTAGAGTGTTATGGTCCAGATCTGGGAAAGGAGGAGAGATGGCCAACCATACTATACAGATAGCTGCTTGCAAAAGGGAGCAAGAAAGAATTATACCTCTGGCCAATCTTTTCCCCACCCACTTTCTCAGGCTGGACCCTGGTTTGGTGGCCATGCAAGGCACAACAACAGTGATGTTTTTGGCCAAGAGGCAGGATACCACTGCTGAGAAGATGAAGCCAAAAGTTGCTTGCTGGAGTAGGCAGGTTATTGTCCCAGGTTGTCCAATGAATAAAAAAGAGCAGAGAAAACAAAGAAGGAGGAACCCAAGGAGGGCATAAGTGAGTTCTCTATTGTTCGCTTTGACAATCGGCGTATCTCTGTGCTTTATGAAAATTCCTAGCAAGAAAAGCGTGAGTAGAGAAAAAAATAGAGCAAGAGATGCTAAACAAGCCCCTAAAGGATCTTGATAAGATAGGAAAATGATAGTTTTGAGAATGCAGTGGTCATGGTGTCTGCTTGGATATTGATCCTCTGAACATTTGAAGCAGTCATTCATATCTGAGGAAAATAACAATAAATCATACATTTTCTGGCTTCTTTCTCCATTGGTCAATCCTTTATCGGCCCAAACATTTGCTATACAGGTAGTCCTACAACAGTTCATTTAATGATCATTCAAAGTTACAATGGCACTGAAAAAAGTGAGTTATTATCTTTTTTCACACTTATGACTTTTGGAATATCCTCATGGTCACGTGACCAAAATCCAGACTCTTGGCAACTGACTCATATTTCTGATGGTTGAGTGTCCCCCAATCCCCTTTTGCGACCTTCTGAAGAGCAAAGTCAGTGGGGGAACCCAGATTCACTTAACCACCATGTTACAAACTTAACAACTTCACTGATTCACTTACAGTACCCACTGTGGCAAGAATTGTTGTAAATGGGGCAAAACTCACTTCACAAATGTTTTGCTTAGCAACAGAGATTTTGGGCTCAATTGTGGTTGTAAGTTGAGGATTAATCGTAATTCATCCAGGTTTCTAGTCTATCCCCTCTTCTCAGAAGGCGTCCTCAAGTCCCTGTGTCCTCTTTATATCTTTATTCTGAGACTTCTCCAGCCTGTCAATAACCTACTGGAAATGTGGTGCTCAAATTGTACACAGAAATTTCCCCTGGCTGGTTTTCTTCAGTACTCTTTCCCCTTCTCCCCTCCCCTTCCTATATATTAAGAGCAGCGTTGAAATGAAGTAGGCATTTCCTTGGAAGAGTAGAATGGAGAGGCAACTTATTTTTAAAAATTTCCTACCTTTCTGGTTTGAAATCTTCCCTTCTGGGCAATGAACACAATTGTAACAACAAAATTTCTCTCCTTCTTTCTTTTCTTTTCGATAACCAGGCAGACAGGAAGGGTTACATACAGAAATGGGCCATATCTAACCATAGAAAGAAAAAGGGTTTCAGGACTGGACAAATGGTGAAGAATAGTATTTCATTTTTAAGTTATTCAGTAGCTCTGTGATACAATTTTCAGACAGCTACTATTGACTGAGGAAATATAGCTAAAAAAGGAAATAGAGATACAACTATTCCTCATTTAGTAGCACAAAAATTTTATAGTGTAGTATTCTTCCCCCTGCAATTGTGGTTTCTTCTAATGAATTAAAAGAGATAAACCAGTATAAATCATAGGTAACTAGACATCAATGGAGCTGACATGCCTAGGAAGAAATGCAGCAGATAAAACCATAAAGTCATAACTTTACATAACTTTTTTTTGTATTTTAATCAATTTACAATTGCATCAATGGCTCTCTATCTTCCTAAACATGATTCCAAGTGCCCAATAAAATAAAAGTAAATGAGGTATAACTATAAAACAAAAATGTGGACTCAGTTACTCTTCTGCTGTCAGTGGTAGGAAAGAAGATAGATATAGGAAAGACTAACCAAACAGAATAACAGAGTTGGAATGGACCTTTGAGGTCTTCTAGTCCAAACCCCTGGTCAAGCAAGAGATCCTATACCATTTCAAACAAAACCTCCAGTGATGGAGCACCCACAACGTCTGGGGGCAAGTTGTTCCACTGATTAATTGTTCTAATTGTAAGGAAATTTCTCCTTAGTTCTAGGTTGGTTGTTTGGTTCTCTTCTTGACTAGGTTTGATTCATTGCTTCTTGTTCTACCTTATAATAAAAGGCTAGGGTATTCCTGGTGGAATCTAATAAATCAGTAGCAACAAATTGATAGTATTATGAGATCCTTTCTGTATATCGTTTCAGGTCTGGTTTTTATTTCTTGGAGAAAAAAAATCCTATTTTACAAAGCACAGAAGGCAAGACATGAATGGATGGAAACTAATTGAGGAGAGAAGCAGCTTAGAACTAAGGAGAAATTTCCTGAGAGTGAGAACAATTAATCAGTGAAACAAGTTGCTTTCAGAAGTTGTGGGTGCTCCTTCACTGGAGGATTTTAAGAAGAAACTAAACATCTGCAATGGTATAGGATCTCCTGCTTGAGCAAGGGGTTGGACTAGAAGACCTCTAATGTTCCTTCCAATCTGTTATTCTGTTATGGGTGGATATATTCAGAATTGTTTCTGTCTCTGAAAATGAACATAAGGATACATGAGAATTTAGGAACATCTGGAATCTACTATACTTCACCTGGTTAAATCCTTGGTGCCAAACAATTTTATCCTCATCTACAGTTAAATATCTCCCATCAGAAGTGTAAGGATTTACCCTTCCAATTTTAACCCTGCAGAAGGAGTTGTTTGGAAAGACAACCAAGTTCGTAATTTCAAGACCAGTTGGCATTTCTCCATGCTTATCCAGAAAGACAGTATCTGCAGCAGAATTATTGAATGAAATGTCTTGAAGAAATAGATGAAGCTAGTTATAAGCAGGGGAAAAACATTAGTCACCTTCGGTTTTCTATGTGGCAGGGTTTTTTTTTAAATGATGTATAGTATAATGCCCTATATATTTTTTATTGTTTTATTGATATTCTGTACATTGTAAGTTGTATTAATGTTTACATGAATTAATTGTGGATCACATTTTTATTTCTCAGAAACCAGACTACATTCCCACACTATATTCTATAGATCCATAAAAGGTAATCTGCTAAAGAGCTATTGGTACTTTTGAAGACAAGTCAGGATCCTATATGGTTAAACTTTGGGACAAGATTGGGAAGACCTGATTTACTTGAACCTTTGGAAGCACATTGGGTGACTGAGCTAATCCCTCTGCATGTCAGTTTGAGCAATGTTGTTAAGATAAATTGGAGGAGGAAACATTATGTTGCATTTAGCTTCTGAATGGGACCGTGTGCCGAAACAGGAAGTTCAAAGGACAATCTAAGAGAATGGGACATCCCTGTAGAAGATACTCTGTGCGAATATGGAGAAGAACAACCCATCTCACATATGTTATGCTAGATATAATGTCCTTCAACAGCTGTGGAGGATGACTTCACGCTGGCGAAAGAAAATATTGTCAATGTGGCCTGACACTAGGAGAATGTCATTTATCCTATTTATTTTATATATATTTTTACACATGCTATGTTTCTATGACCCATTTTATACCTATTTTTACTTGCTCAGTGTTGAATGTTATATGTCTATAATTTGAAGGTGCTTCTGATACGAATAAAGAAAAGCTTTTGAATAAAGGACACTATATACAACCAATAAATTATTAATATGATAAATAAGCATTGTGAATCTACATCCACTATTCATAACTTATAGCAGATTTCTATAGGAATAACATATTTTCAGTTTCTATGGAGGTTACATCATTTCATCTTTGATATGGATGATTAGGGGTGATATGATAGCAGTGTTCCAATATGTCAGGAACAACCACAAAGAACAAAGCGTCAACCTATTCTCCAAAGCAACTGAAGGCAAGACAAGCAATGGATGGAAACTAATCAAGGACAGAATGAACCTAGAACTAAGAAGAAGTTTCCTGACAGCAAGAACAATCAACCAGTGAAACAGCTTGCCTTCAGTGGTTATGGGGGCTCCAACACTAGAGCCTTTAGATAAAGTACTTGACAACTATTTGTCTAAAATGGTATAGGGTTTCCTGCTTGAGCAGGAGGTTAAACAAGAAGATCTCCAAAGTCCCTTCCAACTCTGTTGTTCTGATATCTTAGTTTCACTTAATTAATCCAATAGGAGATAAATTACCTGCCAGGGTTTTAGTTTCTGAAGATTAATATTTTGGTGACCCATCTTTGCTTCCCTTTTCAATTGAGATGAATAGATTTTATGTAAAGCATGTGCTGCTGCATACATGGCATTATAAATACTGTAACTATGAGCAGCCATGGGCATTTCAAAAAAAGAACCAGGAAGACTCTCTATCTTTTCCTCTCCAGTGCATATCTTATTGACCGTTAATGTCCCAGTGGAATTTGTGAAAAGACACCCAAATGATTGTTCCCAAAACTCCTTGAGAAAAGTATCTTCTCTTGTCCCAAATGGCTGGAGCCCCTGAAGAAATGTATGGAACCCCTGAACTTCATTGGACTGAACTGTCAGAGAAATGGCTCCTCTGAATTTCTGCAAACGCCATCCTTTCTGGAAGCTCATTAATGCAAAATCAATCTGAGCTGTCATGATCCACACCTTCCCACCAGGAGTAAGTTCTTCGGGTAGACTACTGACTGTTTCTATCATTAAGGTCAACCAAATAAATGAACTTGTTTCTCCATAAACAATAAAGACTTTGGCTTTTCCTTGCATCATATGTAGATTATATTTTTCAGCTGTTTCCCATGTATCTTCATAGTTGGGAATATAAGCTTGTTTTGGAGTTCTTTCAATGAAGTCTGAACAGATTCCATTCTTGGAAAACAAGGACTGCAAGCTTTGTAGGAAAAGTGTCCCACTGTTATCATCTACAATGAAGAGGCCAATCCAAGTCCATCCAAAATGTTGTAACACATGGATAATCCCCAAACCTTGATGGGCTTCATTAGGGACAATGCGGTAAAAGGAAGGAGTTTTATACTTCTTTTCTTGGACAAAAGAGCCATATGTAATCTACAAAAAAGCAAATAAATAAAATTATGCAAGAAAGTCAACACAAAAAATTTGGCCAACTCTGCTAATTCCATTAGCTTTTTTTACCATTGTCCACGGTGGGAATCAAAGCATCCTTCTACTTTTGTGCATAGAGCAATCTTGCTGCTGTCACCATGTATAAAATCAGAGTTCCAATTTTTTTCCCAGTTCTCTTTCCATTAGACCCAGAAGGAAAGTTTCTGGTTGAATCTTTATGTTCGCTTTAAGAATTTTCTGCATTAATATATGAATAAGGCAATATTTCTTTGCCTTATCACATGTCCACCATAAATGATAAAAAGTCCCTTCTTTACATTTACATTACCAACATCATTTGAAATACCTTTATAAATGAATATTTATATACTTCACTGACCTTAGGAAATTAACATAATGATCTCTACATGCTCCCCTCATATAAGCAGTATGATTTAGTTTGTCATAATACATAATATATTAGATCTCTGGA